GGGAGTGCCATGTTCTGTGAAATTTCATTATTTATTATTAGGGCTTGGAATTTGATGTATTTCGCATTTTTTTTTTTTTTTTTTTTTTTTCTTTTTAGACAATGCTATTCTGGCCACAAATGTGTTTTATAAGATTGTAAAACTGAAAAACTAATTTTTATTTTGCATTTTTTGGTGTTTATTACTTTTTAAGTAATTTTTTGAAATTTTTAGTTATTTTTACTGATTCCACACTAAGTTCACTTCTTATCATTTCTTGTTGACTATTATGTCGAATTTATCTTTCCGATAACATTCGTAGTATTGTAGTAAATGTTATTATACCTAAATTTTATTATTTTTTCCTAATATTCGATGAGTATCCGATTTTATCACGTCGATTAAAGTCAACACATTGTTGTCATGTTATTGATTAGTATAATACCTTTTATACATATCTAAATTTTATTATTTTTTTCTTTTTTTCGTAATATTTTCAAAATGACAAAAATTGAAACGTCGGTTAAAGCTCGTCTGTACTTCCCCATCACTTCAGTGAACGTAGAGAGAAGTTTTTCCAAATATAAATATTTATAATTAAATAATCGCCGTTCATTCACTTTTGATAATATCAAATGTGCTATAATTGTACAATGAAATTATTTTAATTTCTGAGTAATTTGTAAGTTTTGATAAATTGATATGTAATGTTACAGTAAAATAGAGTAAAATATTTTAAAATAATATATTTTTATTAATTTAAAACAAGTATTTGTATATATTTTAGCTCATTTTTTAACGTTTATAAGGTCATCAAATTCCAAGTTTTACTTATCAGCATTGTTTTTAACATAGAACTTAATGTTATAACTTGCCGCAGCATATCTATTAAGCATAAATATTAATAGGCACTAAATTCTTAAAATTACAATAAATTAAATAAATAATAATAAATTATTATAGATACAAATTTTAATCACAATATACTGAGTTCAAAAATGAAATTTTATTTTGCATATTTTCTCATACTATTAAATACTATTTTTAGGCTTTATTATAATACTATAATATTATACATTACTATATAGCTGTTAAAAAAAAACTTAGTGTGAGATATATATATATATATATAAATTAGTTGAAGTGTGATATTTTGAGACATTTATTTTCATATATTATGCCATATTGCCTAGTGTAATGCCATAATACCGGTAACATATATGTAATTTTAAATATGTAAATATTTATTATGTCTTTGAAGTAAATATTTTTAATTTAAAATACGTGGTTTCATAAAATTTGTGGGATAGGATTGAACATTTATATTTATATTTGTATTATCATTCTATGCCACAGTTCTATTTTTGTTTAGTTGAATCATGTGATAGGCAGTTATCTAACGATAAGTAAGGTTTTGGGGTACGATAGCAGCAAGTGGTGGCCAGACGGTAATATGTGGCCTTCCAAACTTCCCCCTCTATATTGCTGTTTCGTATCACCGCACCGCAGTCTTGACACGGAACCGATATCATATACACAGAAAATTTAATATTTCTAATAACCCTTTAATTAATTAAGTTTTTCAACTTTTCTCATTTGATGGCTCATTAACACACAAAGTATTTGCATTAAAAAAAAAAAAAAACTATGAAAATCTATCCAGTAGAACTTTAGATATTGTTTTCCAAAAAAATTGCATCTTCATTTAATAATATTTAGGTATCGAGTGTTAGGCGAAAAAGATAACACTCGAAAATGTTCACTGTTTTAGCGGAAAGATCTGAACACTGCATAAAATGTTTCCACATCAAAAAACTATTCGAATAAAAAAAAAAAAAAATTTAGGGTTGCAGTTAAAAATATAATACGTTTTATTTTTCCTTCGTTTTCCGAAAAGGTTAAAATTCGAAAATTGCCGAAAATTGTACATTTCAGCACTGAAATATTTATTAATGTAAAAACAAATTATACGGCGTTCTGATCTTTCCGCTAAGGCTGAGAAAGTTTTTAAAAGTTACCCTTTTTTGCGTAACACTCGATACCTATTATATTATTAAAAAGAGAGGCAATTTTTTTGGACAGCTATATCTGAAGTTCAACTGGACCAATTTTCATAGTTCTTTTTTAACATGCAAATACATTATGGGTGAATTAGTCATATAATAAGAAAAATTAAAAAATTGAATTAATTAAATAGTAATTAAAAATATTTAAACGTCCGTGTATATGATATCGGATCGATATTAAGACTGCGGCATGGCGTGGCGTGGTGGCATAAAACAGCTATATGGTGAGAGAAGTTTAGGCGACCACATATTACCGTCTGGCCACGCGTCTGTCGTGCCCCAATTCTCATCCACTGTTAGAAAACTGCCTACCGCATGACTCGGCTAGACAAAATTTCAAAGTTGCGCATACTAAATAATATATAATCTTTCTTGTTCAGTACTCAATACTTTCAGTATTTTACCGTAAAATGAGTACTTAGGGCTTATAGTATCCAAGAATAATTTTATATATAATATATAGTACTTGGAAGTAAAACTGACAAGAAGAAACTTGATAAGAATGTTTTTTCTATATAGAATGATGGAAGCATTGATATAAGTATATTGGTAACGGAAGTGGTTTAAATGCTGGATGCACTTCGGGTGACTTAAGATCTACTAATTTAAATGAAAGCTTTGCCTCCAGCGGCTTTACATGTGACTCCGGAGCTATTAATATATTTACAAATGTTCTAATTATCTAAGAGGCTTTATATAGGTCTCCTGGAATTGCAGTTAGTAATGGAAGTGCTCTGCTGGTAGCAAAAAGACTTTTTTTTTTAAAAGTTTTTGTGACTTCATTAGAAATCTCCAGATATACGTCAATAGATAGTGGATAATTGATAGCGTGACAGTTGATAGCGGTCAATATCCACATGCTTTGGGACATTTGTTATATGTCATCTTCACCTATTGAATACGTACTTGACATTACCATAATTTAATGCTTAATTTGTTAAATTTTTATTTGATTTATTGTATTCTGATTTACCTCTTCAGCTTCTAAATTTTAGATAATTTTTAAATAATTATAACAAATTTTCACGTATTATCCAACATAAATAGTCGCATTTTCAACTTGTCATTTTTACTACCAATTTTTTCAATGTATTTAGAATCTTTATCTAAATGCTTAACATAAAATATACATGCGTAAAATAAATTAATGTTTCAGAATGTTATTACATAAACAAATATTAAGTATTACTTTTTAAAGATTTTTTTAATGATTTCTTTTGATTTTAAGGAATTCATTCTTAATTTTACGCTTGTACTCATTAAAATTTTTTTTGTGCATATAATGTTCATTTGTGTTACATAAGAGCAAATTATGTTATATTAAATTTGGTAAAACATTTTTTTTTTTTTTAAGCAAATCTTATTAATTAATATAAATACTGCTGATTTCTTTATTAATCTTCTTTGATATATTAATTAATAACTGTTTTTCAGAACTTAATAATTTAACAATATTGACAAGTTTATTCATCTGGTTATCCATATCTTCGTAAATGAGTTTGGATTCAACTAAAAATAAAATTTAACATAAATTATATATAATTCTAGCATATAAATAGTTTATATAGCTATTCTCTTAAGTCACTCAAGCCATCACATTCTAACTAATACAATTATCCATTATGATACAATTTTTATTATATATAGATTGTATAGTTTTCTAAATTAAAAATATGTACAAAAAAAAACGTATATTTACTTAATCATGAGCGTTCTCACAGGGGTGATATAGGTGATGGATTCCTCCATGGCCTTTTTTTTTAGATAAGATGGATTTTCATAGTTAACTGATAAGTGATATTTAATATTTTAGTAAAAATTTAATAAATAAATATTTTGTTGACTAGATATAATTTTCCATGCGAATATGTAATTGGTATAAAAAAGCAAATTACAGATTACAGACCATGGTTACAGATAAATATCTATAATCTAATATTATATTGATATAAAATGTAAACAATAAATTAGTCTCATCAAATACAAGTTATATCATAATAATTATTATTAACACAATTATTGTGTTTATCAATTGTTTTTAGCGATTCGAATAGTGTATTGACGAGTTACGACTGACGACTGACTTGCATTTTTATTTTTGATAAAAATGAAACGAAGTAATTCAAGTATACTAAATTTCTTTTCAAAAATTAAAAAAATAATATAATAACTTCATATTTTTCATAATTTGATGTCATTCATAGAATTATTTGTACGGCTTAACATTGTTAGCCATCCATAGAGAAATTTCCATTGATCCCAAATAAGTTCTTGATATGATGGCTCAATGATTAAGAAAACTCGATATTATTTTGTTTTTGTTTTGTTTTAATTAACAATATAATATTTTTTAATTTTCATTTAATGTATATAATTTTTATATAAAAAAGAGGGTGTAGGGGGCTTAGCCCCCATGGCTCACCTTCTAATACATTATAATATCCCCCCCTAATAAATGATCCTGAGAACGCCTCTATACACAATCGCGATGAAATTTACTATTAGAATAGTATAAATTAAATTACACTTCCTCGTCGACAATGATTTCGCCATTTCTGTCGCAATAACTTGTAATGTTTCTATTTCTTTGTCAAATTTTCTATTTTGACCAAATACCAAATCTGTATGAGAATAAACAAACACGTGTAAGTGGCTGCGTAATGTTTATATGATTACTTTTTGATTCTATAATATTATTTTAATCCAATACTATCCACCGTTTCCATTTTTTGTTCCATTTCGTAAAAATTATTTCTTAGCATACAGATATCATTTATAAAACATGTGTTATCTTCTATTTTCGAATCATTATCTAATTATTGACGACATAAAACTGTTTACTTATATATACACTATTTAAATTATGTTTATTTAAATTAAACTACCAGCTAAGCGTTTATTCATAATTTTTATTATTTTTCGAATTTCATTATTCAATACTTCAACTACCGATAATTTTGCACCTTTAGGTTTTGTTTATTCACTTCTAAATATTGAAACAAAAATAATATACATCATCTTCCAATAGTTTTATGTTTTTTATTATATTATTCGCCTTTAATCAAAGTCATATTTTTCTCCATTAAATTATTGCTTTCTTTTATAGCAGCCAATTTTGTAGCCAAAATGCAATTTTGTGCTTCTTGTTTCTGTACCATCACTGTATAAGTTTCTAAATATAAAAACAAAAAAAAAAATATACAACATCTTCCAGTGATTTTATGGTTTTTATTATAATATTTACCTTTAATCGAATTCATATTTTTCTCCATTGAATTATAGCTTTCTTTCATAGCAGTCAATTCTGTAGCCAAAATCCAATTTTCTTCCTTCAGCTTGATCATAACTGAAAACCATCTTTAATTATTACTAATCATTCATTATACATAATTTATCGAATGAGAGAATAGCAGTTCACGATATACCTTCCATTGCCTTTTTTAAATCGATACACATTGTTTTCTGGTCAAGCTTAGTGTTGACGTCGTCTAATAGAATTGTTTCGCTATTGACTTCTAAACGTGTTAAAATATTTTTAAATACATCATTAAATTTAACCAGTTTTCGATATTTAAATATTTCGTATTACAATGACAAACCTGAATACACATTCACACTATATTTGGAGGGTTCATCTCGGTCCATATTAGCGCATTGCTCTTGGGATATCTGAATATCCGTCATATTTTGTTCGTCTTTAAATATTATAATCATTTTTTATTTGTTTATTTATTTATTATATATATATTAGACTGACCCAAAAAATTCAATGTAATTTTTTTCGAATGCATACCCTCTTAATTTTTTTATATTGTATCAAAACACTCGTAAATTAAATTCTATGAACTTTGGACCACAATAAGCCGTGCCGACTTGAGTAGTAAACGCGTTTCCTGTCAATATATGCATTATAGGCGTGCACGATGTTGAACGCAATTATGTGTGTTGCAATTATGTGCAATTTCCGGTTTTTAATGTTAGTAAGCATATTGCTTTTCGCGAATCAACATGTCAGCCAAATTGCGCAGTACTAAAAATGGTTTATTTTTAGTAGGAGACGTACAACACCAAATAAACGGGTCAAAATTTCCGTCTAATGGACAAGTATTCTCAGTATTGTTTTATAATATCCGTGAAGTAAAATTAACTATTAATGAAACCACGAATCTCACCGTTCGTGAGTGTTATATTTTAGGAAAAAGCACGAATCCTAACTAAATCGTTACTTAATGGTGTAAAAATACTTATTGAGTTACATCAAGTTTGGTGAGGCTTACAAAAAATGCAAAGAAAACACAAAACATATTCAAACAGCGTCATCAAGTATTTACAGACAATTTGGATAATTTGTTTGATATTGCACATGCTAATGCCTTTCAATTAATTAAAATAGTGAAAGATTAAATAATTTTAAGGCATAGAGAGCAAGGTCGAGTTGATTATTTAGGTGGAGTGGATAAGAAACTGTCAGACAAAGAAAAAAGGGCGCAACTAAGAGCAATTGAAGAAGAAAATCGGTGAATGAAATATCTTTCTGCTTCAACTTCTCTGGAGTCGAATGAACCCGTAGAAGACGATTCATTTTCCATTTTTTGGTTTAAATATAGATTCACCAGATAATCAGCAAACTACTATCGATAACACAGAACCTGAGACTGGGGAAATTCTAAGAATACCAAAAAATAATTTTATTACTTCAAAATTAGTAGCTGCATTAGACAGGTGTCAGTTGAGTATGAGAGACACTGTGTTTATTCTCTAAGCCACTATTGAGGCACTTGGATATAATACAGATGATTATCCAACAAGTAAATCTTCCATCCAACAAATCTGTAAGGAAAAACGAAAAGAACAAGCCGAAACTATAAAGATTGATTTTAAGAACGAAGTACCAGATGTTGTTACTCTTTATTGGGACGGAAAATTGTTGCCTGCAATGAATGCTCGAAATTGCAAAGAAAAACGTCTTCCTATAGTTATTTAATTTGGAAATAAAGAGCAACTTATTGCTGTCCCGAAATTGAATAGTTCTACAGGAAGAGAATAGGCACAGGCTGTTTGGAATACAATCATGGATTGGGATTTTGAAGAAAAAGTACAGATTCTCTGTTGTGATACGACAGCTTCAAATACAGGTCGTCTCAATGGTGCTTGTATTCTCCTAGACTAAGAATTGCTGATTTTTGCTTGTCGCCATCACATTTATGAGCTGATCCTAAAATCTGTTTTTGAAATAAAAAACAGTCAAGTGACTATATGTCCTGATATTCCACTTTTCAAAAAGTTCAGAAAAAATTGGAAAAACATCAATCCCATTATGATACAAGTAAGGTTGTAAATTTGAAATATTTCATATATTACAAGCCAATTTTTTATAAGTCACTGTCCACTGGTGTCCAATGTCACTCAGGAGAAAATTTAGCAGATTTAATTATTTTTGTAATTGAAGAATTAGGACCAAGAAAAGTGTTGAAAAAATATGAAAAAAGCATGGGGAATTATATCTAAAAAGTATCCTCATATTAACACTTATGGATGCGTTGCACATGGTCTTAATTTATTAATTAAAGATATAATAAATTTAGACTCATTCAAAGAAATTATTGAAGATAGTAAAGAAGTAATTAATACCATAAGAAGAGGATATATTACCAAAGCAATATTTGAAAAAAAAAAGAAAAGAAGCAAACAATGTGAATTATATGGCACTTGCGTTACCAGTTGTGACCAGATGGGGCTCAGTTGTAATTTTTTTTAAATCTTTGTTAGTCAATAAACAAATAATTCGTTCAATGAATATTGATGAAGTTATTGAAAAAGATCTAATACTTAATGTGAAAAAAACAATTAGTAGTCCAATATTTTGGAAAAAAAAATTGAACATTTATATTGTCTTATAAGCCCAGTAGCCAAATAGATTGAAAAAATAGAAAGTGATTCACCTCAGCTAAGTGTTGTGCCTTTTATTTTTCAGAACTCACAAAATCTTTTGAAGATACATTAAAAAGTAACAGTATTTTAAAATCTAATGAAAAACATATTACGGAAGCACTAGCAAATAGAAAGAGTTTTGTGTTGGTAAAATTCATAAAGCTGCTAACATACTTAATCCTAAATTCTTGGGTAAAACATTTAATTCAGATGACCATGAAGATGCAATACAGTTTATTTATCAATTAGCTAAGCAAATGATTAGTTTATAAATTGATAAAGATTATGGAAATTTAACAAAAGAAAATATATCGGCATGGGAAACGATACATCCCATCGGAGGACGAAATTTGCGGTTTATTGTATGGTTAGTATCACATATAAATATTAATATAATAATATGTTAGGTAGTTGTTTTTATTATAGATATCTTCAGTTATTTCTAACTTAATATTTTTTGTCTTTTCAGACTTGACATGGCTTTATATCAGCCAAGAGCGACTATGTGTTCACTCGTCTCAAAATTGATGATAATTTTCTCGTCGAATCTCCTTCGTCGTGGCCAACTAATGTTTTGTTCCTCAAAGCCAAAAATGCTGTGTCAACCCTTACAGTTGTTGGTGATATTGCTGAAAGGGGTGTTAAGCGGATACAAGACTTTCATGGTTTAATAATTATTACAGTTGAAGAAGAACAAAAACAATTTTTATTACGTTATGTACAAGAGTACAAAAGAATTTTTCTCGACTTTAATAAAAAACTTTGAAAAGAAAATATATACAATGATTAATTTTAAAAATCTAAAATTATAATAAACGTAAAATTGCAACCAATTGGTATTTTATTTCTTAAAACGCATGACAATTTTAAGTTCTTCCATAGTCATGCTTTCTAAATTATATTTGAAAGTTTGACGTAAAGTCGGCACGGGTTCTAAAGATCGAAAGTCGATAATATTTCATAAATGAGTTATTAAGACCAAATGTAAAAAAAAGGGTGAGTATGCTTACCTAATTTTACATAAAAATGTTTTCCCCCTTATGCCATGGGATCCTCTAATATATATATATATATATACACGAGCTGGGTCTGGATCCTTTTAATACATTTACAATTACAGGTATATCGTATAAGTTTTATAAAATATATAAGAAAAAATAGGAAGAGTATTATATACAAAAGTGACAGTATATAAATAAAAAATATAAAAATACTGAATTTAATATTTATATTTTAGTAATATATAGTTAAATAAGGAAAGTATAGTCCATATTGGCAATGGACATCATACGTCTTAAAAATCCATTAGCTAAATAATTGAATAGACATATAGGGACATGGAAGGTTATATTGTAACGAAAAAAGTGTTGTAAAACTAAGTATATAGTATAAAGGAAATTAAAAACGGGGAATCTACTCTACCATATGAATATCCTTTTAAAAAGTTAGAACCTATAATGTGCCTGTGCTCCGCTAATGAAGCTAAACCAAGTTGATTAACAATTGGTGTATAGTCATGAGGTGCACAATAATTGTTGGTGTTAATTATTGATGTCCAAAAATTAATTGGTGAATCTCAAGAACCTATGATTTACTCTTTTAACCTGGCTAAAGCGACCCAATTCTATGGCACCATATTCAATAATTGACTTTACTTATGAATAATACGAGTATAAAACTATAAGGTATAATGTTAGTTTTATATATATATATATATATATATATATCTTATATGTATTATATGTACTAATATGTAAAAAAAAAAAACGATTGATTTTTGTATCAATAAATAAAAAATTTTAAAAAAAATTAAAATAAATAAATATATTACAATTCTTGGTTAGTACCTAAGTTAACCGGTCGAGAGACATCGTTTTCCATTTTTGTCTGAGCGTCGATGTTATATTTGTTCAGGCGCATGAAATTGCAGTGTATAATAGAGTACTGTTGAATTCTGTTATCTGGAGACCATTTCCGTAATTTGTCTCCACCTAAAACTCAATTGATTCAAAATATATATAATTTTTTTCCAAAAAAAGTTTTCATGACCGTCATTAATGAACATTATATAAGTTTTTATAGTTCATCAAATAACTTTTGTCAGATTTCCGAAATTACCTGCAAAATTCCGGCTCATGGTATTGTAGTCTTCGTCAGGGTCAAGTGATATCATCATTGTTTCTCTAGAAGCATTGAACTGAAATGATTTAATAAAATACAAAATATGTTTGTGACTATTAAATACCATCGTTAAATCATTTTCAAGTTCTGACCATTTTCAATTTTGTATCCCTTCTGGGAGCATCTATGACGAATTCGTTTTTGCTATCCCTTTTTTCATGTCTGTCATTGTTATTTATATTCCATATTTTAAGCCAGTTGAACCATCCCTTACTTCTTACTCTTGTCTCATTCTTCACTGCTGATAGTTCTGGCATACTTATTTGTTCATTTGTGTTTCCTATTTAAGCTATTACTACTCGAAATATACTCAAAATTTGCTAAATATCTCGTATTTATATCACACGGTAATTTGTTGGTTCAAAATATAAAAACCTTAACAAATTTGATATTATATCGGTAAAAAATTGTTCAAAAAAACTGAATAGTTCGAGTTGCTAGAATAATTTATATGCGTCAAAAATCAACTACACTATACAAAATCCATGACAATTTATTCAAGACACAATTTTTCATTTGAGCCAGGTTATATTTTATATTCAATGTGACTGTTTTAATATTTTGATTAACTTTTACTGTATTTAATATTTCTACAGCTTAGGTACTACGATAATTATTGTACATGTTTGACCTTATTAGGATTTTTGACATAATAAATTAGAAAAAAATTAAAAAATAAGGTCATCCATTTGGTTCTTTTGTTAACAATTAATGTTTGCGCCAAAACCACTCCTACGAGTATGGTGGTCGGTAGCTTTGACTCGCGTAATAAAGGACCAGATAATAATTATCACTGTTCAAATTATATATAAATAAATAAAAACCAGATATATGATGATGCGCCCGAGTTCGGGTACGTAATAATGTTACAATAAATAATTAACCATATTAGTACAAAATAAAATGTAATAATAATGCGGGGGCCCTTGTTAAATAAATAATAATAATATTCACGCCTTATGGGCGTAAAACATACAAACAATATATAATCTTAATCAGAATACAAACATAATTAATAAATATAATACAAAAGAAAAAATATATCACTAACTACAGGATGGGCAACTTGACGTCTGCGGACAATGGCGCAACACCACGATGACAATAACGATCCGTCCCAGGAAAATATGGCTGACAATTGGCAAAAAACTCGAACAATACACAAATTTCGTGTGGCGACCAACGCGAGAACATTACGCAGAGCGTGTATCGCTCACGAGTGCACGTAAAAGACAAATACTGCAAAGGCCGAGGCACAGACCGATCATCAGGACTGCCCCAAAATGCAGAGGGGGGTGTCATGAAAATTCTCGAAAAATCGAGACGTTCATGACACAATGAACGACATGCTATGGTGCGAAAATTCAAACCGTTGTGGTGTTTGAACAATTAAGTATCAATTTTTTTTCTCATTAATAATACACTCTTCTTATATCTTTAAAGCTAAATATTTTACATACTCATATGATAATCATCATTATATAATTTTTAAGTATATCTAGTAAATCAATTAATTATATCTCTATATCATTTTAAAGCAAAATATAATACAAATATGAACACTTTTATAAATTTTTAGAAATAATAAATTTTAAATTATCATTGTACATGATATATTGGGATAAATTTGTTCAACTATAATAACTATAATAATTATATTTCGTTTTATCGACAGCGGGCAAGATCGTGGTAGTAATTGTAATATCGCACACAGGTTTTAATTAAAAGCTAATTAAGGTGTTATCTGTAGAACTGTTATTGTCGAGAGTATCATTTGTAACCATAACACTATTATATATATGAAATTAATTTTGTGATTCATATTTAGAATCGGATGGTTTGAAATTATATATTGTGGATTAAATGATATTGGATTGCCATGTGATAAATTTGACTCACGAGACTTCCTGTTTTTAACTTCATGGAATTCAGGATCTGAGTGGTGAGATGAAACGATCGTGGATTTTATTTTATTTTGACCGTGTTTATTCCCGAGAAAGTGACCGTTTCCACTAGCAACGGCATAATTGTATCGCACTGGTTAATTAGTTAGATAATATATGTGAAATCCGATATGGCTAACTGACGATAAAACGACCGTTAACGATGAGAGGTAAATCGTGACTGATCACCAAAGTTAAATATAAAAAAATGTTTTCAGATATCTTGAAATCAATGAATGAATATAAATAATAACATTTTGACTTTCCAAAATTACATGATTTACTCATCGCTTACCTATCTGATTTTATGATTATCGTTATTAAAATATTAAAGACATCAGTATTATTGAAGTTTATGATATTATTGAAAATCCGATAGGTCATGACAAAGATTGGATAACTTTTTGGTATCAATATAATTTAAGGAAAACAATGAGTTATATTGTAATATATAATACATACTCAGTCATAAGTCATGACCATTGAATAGTTCAACAAGTAACATATTTACCTCGTAACAATATTTCTTCATCCACAACAGGGATTAATGATTGGTAGTTGCCTTGTGGTGTGACCTTAAATGAAGATGATGTTGTATATATGATGGATAATATTTCATGAGTACTTTCTGGAGTAGTTGATGAAGACGTATTCTCTGTTAATAATATATATATATACATTTAACGTGTTATATAATAAATTATAACTTTTAACTAAATTAGAGTTATTTTTACTTTTGAAGAAGGGCAATCTGACATCTGAACATCATTATGGTCTTAAAACAAAATAATTAAAGATCAATAAATAAAAGCTTTAAATATATGCTTCAATAATTATAATATACCTTCATTAGGGAAACTAGAACCAGGGATATTTAGTTTGGATTTTAATGACTGTGTCCTATAATTCTCTATTGTACTGCTTTCTTTATAACTATAATCTAACTCGTGATCAAAATCTGCAAATGAATTACAAAATGAAAATTTTAATAGTTATAACCAATTTATTAAAACAAAAATTGTAAACATATTATAATTAGTATCTGTTTTCTGCAATTTGGGTGAAGTCATCAATGGTATTGAGGTATCAAAATCTACCTTCCTAGCATCTAAATCATCTAAAAAGACAATTAATCAGTTATTATAATAAATATAACAATGCATATTATTAAAGTACTTATATAAATTAAATCAAGTATATAAATAGTAAATATTCAATAGGTATTTACCATTTTGTTTATTTTTATGTAACTTTTCAATATACCGAGGAGGTTCTAAATTTATAGCTGTAATTTTTTATCCTTTTTGAATTTTCAATATTAGATAGGTCACTTGTACCCTTTACTAATTTAAGCTTTTTTTCGAGCATCATGTAATGTTCCTATTAAGTAAATAATTAGTAAAAACTTAAAACAATCTACCTATTAATAAAATATTTATCAATGCCTTTTATCAAAATTCTTTATTTAAACAACTGTAAGGTTCTGGAGCAGTATCCAAAATAAAAACGTCTATCTCTTCTTTAATTTTTCTTCTCTTGGAACAAGAACTTATCTGTTTAAACATTTTTTTCATAACCCTATTTTATAACATTGCTTTTAGTAATAATTAATAATACAATTTTACAATTTAAATGTTTTAGAATTCAAACATTTTTCAACTAATTGTTAGTTATATAGAATAATTACTATCATTGAACATCAAAGAAATACAATAATTAAATATTTATTAGTTATTACAAATAGGTAACTAATAGTATAATTAAAAAACTGTATAAATAAGAAATTAGAACTATAGCAAACAAATGTAAACTAATACAGTAATACAGCTAATTAATTTTACAATGGTTGATGTGGAGTCTGATAAACAGATTTTAGGGCCAGGTATTTAGATTTAAAAGTGGCTTCCTTACTGTGGAAGGTGTGCAGTCATATTCAGTATGGTACAATATACCGTATTGATGTAAATATTATAATAAATAATTGTTATTTCTTATTACTCATGGTTTTATAATGAGCAAGTCACACAGATATGATACTATATTGGATATTTGGATTTTACTTAAGTATAATTTACCTCATATAAAATCACAAGCACAGTTACCTAACACGTAGATATGTATGTTATATTATATTTAAATAAATTATTACAATAAATAAATAATAATATACATAATTGTTAATAGGTACATATTAGAAACATTTTAATTTTTAAAATTTAGGTGTACAAACAAGGTCGTATCTAGAGGGGGTTTAGGGTGTCTGGACCCCCCTCTCGAAATATATTCAATATTTCACGAATGTTTAAAATACTTATTTATTTTTAATACCAACATAAATATTTTCAGTCAAAAATGACTTAAGCTCCAATTAATTATTGACGGCTTTTAATTTTATATCATAATATCATATGAAAATATGATATTCATTTTAATAAAAGAAGATTATGTATTTTTCTGTGTTATTTTTATTCAAATATCAAAAGTGAAAATCTAAATTCAATAAAATTATAATATACATGTTTTGGAGCCCTACCGAAAAAGTTGTCTAGATACAGCCTTGTATACAAATAAATATAATAATTAGTCGCACACTATTATCTTCGTGTGGTTATACAAAATTTTAAATTATTTAGGTAACACGCTAGCATGCAAAACGAATATTTTATATTATAGCTTACCTTAGATCTCGATCAAGTTGAAACACAAAACTATAAAACTAGTATAAGTATAATACTATAGTGTCAAAAACGAGTAAGAATTTGAAATTATTACGTGTACATACTACACTGTACACTCCAATAAGTTTAATAATATTAGCGACTGCGATGACAAATTGGCTAACACAATTAAGTATTCATGTTTGATTTGTCAATTGACAAAGGCCCACTGCATACAGCGGCACCAGAACTACAAATACATACGCATAATGCTTATAAGAATTAAGAGTCCGTTACTAAAATATATTTATTTATAGAATAATAAGTAATAACAATTGGTAGGGTACGTATTGCGAGTTGGAGTGATGATAGACGTGCGACAAGCTTGTACGATAAGCCCGTTACTAGAAATATATTTATTTATAGAATAACAACAATTGGGTACGTACTACGTATTGCGAGTTGGAGAGACGAGCGACACACGACGAGCCCTTACGTATGTCAAGTGCCAACATAAATTATAAATGCTGATTAGTGATAAATGTGATTATATTTACATTTTTTAGTACATAAGCATCCTAACTCTACTTATTGTATTATAAAATACCTTACAGAGGAAAGTTATTAGAGGATGTACTCAATGGGCGTTTCTTAAAAAAAAACATACACCCAATTAAATATGTACTTATGTAAATATTTAACTATATTACAATTGTTTAATATCAATGTGTATAATATGGGTTGAATTCCTTTAATTTATCGCCAACTAACGTAGAGCTATGCAACAATTTTTATATTCTAAAAAATGGTCAAACATATTTCTTCTTTATTATGCAGTACATAAAATAATGTAACTATTGCCAAATATTTACAAAATTTGAATAACTGAAAAAAAATATAAATGTATTATACAAAACTTCAAATTTAAAAAATCAATTTTTTTTCCATATAATTAATATGAGAATATTAAAATAATTTTTGAATATTTTTGTCCAAATTAAATTAATTTTAATAAGTTTAATAGGATATTGAATCAATTTTCGCTGCATCTGTAACGATTAAGACTAAAACCCAAATTTTTATTTTTGAAAAATATAACTATAATGTTAAAAAAAAAACTGTTCAAATGTTAACCGAATTAATAATGTTAAGAACACAATTATGAAAATACTAAAGCTGTTGAGAAAAAAAAATAAAAAAAGATTTTTATGTTCAGCACGTGTGGATGTTCTCATTGGTAATATTCAATTTTCAGTTTTTTAACACTTTTTTATTATCAAACATCACGCCTTATATTTTTATTGTACATTTACTTATCAATTTATTGATTCCCTTGGAATATTTATAAATTACTGTTTTTTTTTTAATTATATCACTC